CTGACCACTCAAGGAATGAAATATACTGATTACAACAGTGTTGCTTCGTAACCACAGGTTCAAGGAGTTTCATGGCAGTTTGCACCAGCTTGTCAACATAGTTTATTGATAACAGTGAAATTGATGATTTGCACCTAGTCTCAGTGAGCCCCCAAAAGGCTCTGCTTTTTGAGGCTGGTTACACAGCAGAAATATGCAGACATGACCAGCAGAAAATAAAAGAAAATCTCAGTTGAGACTCCATTTTGGGATCCCGGCCTATGAGGTGTTCAGTGCACTTGTTGATGGTCCCTGACCTGAGAGACGAGGTGCATCCAGGCATGGCCCTTACACTGGGAGGACCCCTGGCTAAGGGCCCTGGACTGCCTGCTCTCAGACAGCCATGGGCTGTGATGCGTATCCTGACTCTAATTTTGTCACGATATTATGTCCCCCTGCAATGAGCTGCACATTTGTAAGCACTGTCGCCGGGGTTCTGTTAGTTTCCTTCAGCAGTCAACCCTGTTTAACTGGCATGGTTAGTGCAAAGGCAAGTCAGCTTTATGAAATCTAGTTTTGTAAAAATAAACAAATTCAAAGAATGTAGCAACAAAGCACAATGCTTATGAGATGATATTGAGAAAGAGAATATAAAATTTTATCTAAGCTATGACAGTAAAATCATAAGACTATGAAACTGTTTATTGTGAGAGACAAGAAGTGAACATGGGAGGGATTCTGGGTAAGTTTTCTATCATTCAAAAATCTGTACTGTTGTTTCATTATTCGTGGAATAAATAAAAAATGTAAATGCCTAAAAACCAAATGTCATTTTTTTTTTAAGATTTTGATTGGGGAATTGGGGGGATGGGAACAGCGCTGGGGAATTGGGGGTTGGGAACAGCGCTGGGGAATTGGGGGAAGGGGAACAGACAAGTTGCTGTCCTTTTGTTCTTCAGTCTAGTTGTGGAGGACTTTGCTTCACTGGCCCAACTTGGCACCATCACCGNCATACAAGTTGCATGAGCAAGGGCTACTAACTTCTACTACGTTACCATCTCTCTCAACCCAGACCTACGGCCTCATGGAGAGTTTCCTAAGACCAGAGAACTGGGAAAGGATGTATTCGGGCATGAGTTACATATGGTTCTGTACAATGTGCTGTAAACATTTGGAATAGGGTTGCTGCCGCATTACAGCCCTACTGAGGGGTGGCCCTTAACAACAGTAGGAAGGGAAACTTCAGTGGGCAAAGTCTGTGTTCATTTCCCCTGGAAAGAGAGTGGCAAGGACCTATATTAAACCATCGGAAGTTTCTAATGGTTTGGCCAGATGATCAGGAATTTGGAAAGAATAATATTGGAGGACTGGTGAAAAAGAGGTCTGGGAATGGGGCCTAGAACTAAAAATGCTGTCCAACAGAATTTTCTGCAGTGATGGAAATGTTCTATGTTAGACTCTCCAATATGGTAGTCACTAGCCACATGTGGCTATCGAGCACCTGAAATGTGGCTAGTGTGTCCGAGAAACTGAATTTACACTTTTTAAAAATTTAATTAATTTAAATTTAAGTAACCACATGTGACTAGTTGACAAGATATTGGACAGCACAGGTGTAGAGTGTGAAAACACATGTTTTATGTGTTTTTGCTCCCCAGAGGGCATCCTTAGGAGAGGTGGCTCTCAATAATCAGCGAAAAAAAATGGTACACTCTCTAGACGTCAGCCTCTTCATCCAGTATCTATTTGCTTGCTCAGTGGGCTCGTGTACAAAGTGCATGGTGGCAAGAATACATTTTGTAAGGGGTCACGAGTGCTAATCCATACAACTTGCCAAAAGCACAGATCGATGTTGAACAACTGTTATGGCACCATCCACCAGGGGTTGATTATAGGCAGGTTTATTACGCTGGACCCCTTCCATCATGGAGAGAACAACAATTTGTTCTCAGTGGAACAGACGCTCATTTTAGATACGGATTTACTTTCTCTGGCTATAATACTTTCGCCAGGACCATGATCTGTGGACTTACNGTAAGGGGTCACGAGTGCTAATCCATACAACTTGCCAAAAGCACAGATCGATGTTGAACAACTGTTATGGCACCATCCACCAGGGGTTGATTATAGGCAGGTTTATTACGCTGGACCCCTTCCATCATGGAGAGAACAACAATTTGTTCTCAGTGGAACAGACGCTCATTTTAGATACGGATTTACTTTCTCTGGCTATAATACTTTCGCCAGGACCATGATCTGTGGACTTACTGAATTCCTTACTTCTTGTGATGATATACCACTCAACATTGCTTCTTCCCAAGAAAATAATTTTACAGTAATAGAAGCGGAACAAAGCCTTGTATATATGAGTCATTGGTCTTACCATATAACCCATCATCCAGAAAAAACCAATCTGACAAAACAGTGGAAAGACCTATGGAAGATGCAGTTAGCTGGGTGACAACATCTTCTGGGGTTAGGTGATGTCCTATAAGACGATGTATCAACTTTTAACCAGTTACTAACAGTATGTGATGTTATTTCTCTCATAGTCAGAATACATGGAAAGGAACCAAGAGATGGAAGTGGGAATGGCTTCTCACACATTTGGGAATCGCAAAACGTGTATTGCTGTATTATTAATAGTTAACTTTAAGTTTTAAAGTTCCAGTATGTCCATGTGGATTGAGACTAAAGAAGTAGCAATTAACATTACTCCAAAATGACACAGATACTGATGGGACATTGAAAGGTTAAGTGCGTCTTCATTTATATGAGTGATGGTATATCATATAGGTGGGAGTGTAATCTTTTTGTTGTTTCTTAGGTTGAATATGGGTAAAAGGGTTTGTATGGATGCTGACTATATAAAGCGGGCTGTACCACTGCTAAACAGAACCTCCACTTTCCTAAGCTCCCCCCTGTGCTGCAAAGTTGGAAGTTTGAAAACTACATTTCCCAGACTCCCTTCAAAGCAGAGTTCCAGTTTAGTTTCTGCAAGGAGAGGTACTTGACATGGTTTGGAAAACACAGGTAGGNACAGAGCTGGGAGCAGAGAGGTGAGTCATGAAAAAAAAAAAGAAAAAGAAATATAACAATAGCTGTGTGTTAGACACTGTTCTAAGTAAGCACTTTACATATATTTATTCATTTATTTCTCACAACAACTTTATGAGCTAAGTACGGTTATTTTGCCCATTTTAAAGATGAGAGACCTCAGACACAGAGAGGTTACATAATTCACCCAATGTCACACAGCTAGTTTCTAGTAGAACCAGGATTTGTACCCAGGCAGTATGGCTCCAGAGTCCATACTCTGAACTACTGTGCTACATTCCAAAGAGGAGGAGAGTGGGACGAATCACGTGGAATGATGAGCAGGAAATGAAAGAAAGTGCAGGAAGTACAGGAACATAAATTTTTATTGTGTACCTTCTATCTACCAGGGATTATGGATAAAAAGATAAGACTGTGGCCCATGCCCTTGAAAAGCCTCCAGCGTGGTGAGGAAGACAGGTAGTGAATCACATTATTTCAAAACAGTGTGGCAAGCTCTTAATAAGTACAGAGAGGCATGTACAAAGGGCTATAGGGACACGGAGAATGAGCCCTTCACTTAGCCCAGGCTGGCGGCGTCAAGAAAGTCTTCTTAGAGAAGGTGACTCCTAGTCTAAGAATTAGGAGTTGAAATGAAGAGCCGAATTGGGAAGAGGTCCAGGCTGAGGAAAGCAGGTGAGGGGAAAAACAGCCTGAAGGGTGTATCTGGGGGAAAAGCAAGAAGTTCCCTTCCAAAGGGAACTTGTTTTTGTTTACCTGACATGGAAATCAAACTGCTTCAAAAACTTCCCATATTCTTCACGTAGGGCTTCCTTCTCTTGCTGCAGCTTAGACACCTTCTCTGCCAATTCCTGGTTGCTCTTGAGATGCTGGAAAAAAAATTTTTTTTTTTAATGAGAATATTCTGTGCTGAATAAAGGTATGATGTTGATGGAGTGTAAATTAACAAAGTGTTTCTGCTGAAAAGGCTTCCAGTGGCTCCGGCTTCTGAGACCATAGTAGCTTCCTGTGATTTTCTGCACTTANTTAAAAAATAATGTACTAATTAAGAGCATTCAGAAAAGATTGTCCATATATGTGGAATCTTAAAAACAAAAACCAGACTCATAGATACAGAGAATAGATTGGTGGTTGTCAGAGGCAAGGGGTAGGGGATGGGTGAAATGGGTGAAGGGTACAAAGGTCATGGGGATATAATGTACAGCATAGTGACTATAGTCATTAATACTACGATGTATATTTGAAAGTTGTTGAGGGTAGATCTTAAAATTTCTCATCATAAAAAAAAATTTGTAATGATGTATGGTCATGGATGTTAACTAGACTTATTGTGGGGACTATTTTGCAATATATACAAATATAGAATCATTATGTTGTACACCTGAAACTAATATAATGTTGTATGTCAATTATATGTCAAAAAGAGAGAGAGAGAGAAAAAAAAAAAGACTGTCCATCAAAGAGTTATAAGGAAGGAGATTACATTATGTTTTGAAACAAACCATTCCAGATTTTAAAGTCTTTCATCCAGGACCCTTCAGTGTCGAACTAGTCTCCCGTGATATTATTTAAATATATTTGTGGTAAGAATTGAGAAGAATGGAGCCATCCCACAAATAACACTCTATGCAGTTATAGCTGGATTAGAAAGGAAGTTGAATGGGGCAGGCTACTGACATATTTCTTTGAACCAAAAAGTCAGGACATCTGCTCTAATACTAGGATAACATATTTGGGGAACTCTGGTTTAGATGGTCACATCTGAACAGCAGTCCGAGGACTCAACTGGCTTACTGTATATAGAGAAGGCTGAAGAATGAAACTGAAAAAGGTGGCATTGTTTTCTGGACACTTGGTGCTTAGAAAGTGAGCCCAGCTTTTATATGCTTACGGCTCTGGTCCTTGGGCCCTAAAATAAGTAAAGTCTAGACCAAAGGGTTTGTACCACTGTGGCATTAAAAGTTATCATGTGGGTCTTCTCTAGGCTAAGTACATATTTCCCATTCTAGCAACAATTCCTCTGGTGAATTATGCATCCACCAACTAACATGCTTCTCAGAGATTTTACACCAAAAAGAAAATAACAGTGCGGGGAGTAGGGTCGATGGAATTGTGATAGATACGGATGATATCTGGGGTGGGGGTGGTTGTTTGGGGGAGGGGGATGGTCACTTTGTGAGGGGTGAAAAGTATAACTATTGCATTGTTTTGAACACCTGAAACTAATAATATAAAAAGTAAATAAAATAAAATATATTGTAATAGCTATGTGCAGTGTCAGATAGGTAATAAACTTACTGGGGTTATCACTGTGACGTACATAAATGTCTAATCACTATGTTGTTTTGTACACCTGAAACTAACATAATATTGTATGTCAACAGTAATTAAAAATAAATTTTAAAAATTTGGGGAAAAAAAGAGAAAATGACAGCTATGAAAATNAGGAGAGTAAGCCTTTTAAAATTTGAAAGCATTAAACAAAAGTCATTTGGTCTCTGTCAGTTAAGTTCATGTTGTCACTTTAATGAAACACATATAAGCTTATGCAATTAAACACACACACACACACACACACACACACAAAGATTTACTGGCATTGTAGGAGCAGGTGAAGTAAAAAAAGAAGAAAGCATGGAAGAGTACAGAAAAACCATAGACTTCTATCAAGTGTGTATCACACCCATTTCTCGAAAACCTTAGGGAAACAGGGCTTCAGTGTGGTATTCAGCACGCGTTACTTGGTAAGCATGAGGATGATTACCTTTTCCTCTGCATCGGCAACTTTCGACTTCTCCAGCTTTTCCTGTGATTTAATGCTCTGAGCCTGCTTGCGTACTTCCAGCTTCAGTTCCTTGATTTTTTGCTGACACTGCTTCCACTCTGCTGTGAGTGAAGAGCACATCTTTGCACTGTCTAATAACTTCTGCTGGGTCTGCTTTAGTTCAATTGTTATCTAGAGGTGGGGAATAAATACAAGTAATAGAAATAAGCATGGAATGAAGGTGAATGCGAGCCAGAATAGGCAGCTTTCAAAGGAGTGCTGTCCCCCAAGAGCTGACAAATACCAATGCCATGTGCCGATTACCTCTCTGGAGCTGCCATGTGTTAGTAAGGTTTGCCAAAGTCTATCTAGCCAGATGGAAGCTGGACAAAGGGATTTCTCCAAGAGTTACTATATCTGCATGGGCTACACATTATCCATTCTTTTTCGATCTACTCCAAGCTGGTTTTCATTTCCACTACTCCATGAAACTGTTTTTGCCAAGAGTACTACTGACCTCCCCATTGGCAAAGTAAATCCAGTGGACTCCTGACCTCTTAGTAGCATTCACTCCCTTCATCTCAGAAAGTTCTCTCTTGGAGTCAGTGATACCAAACTCTCCTGGTTTTCACTTGCCTCTCTGCTGGTCCTTTTTGGTCTCTTTTGTAGACTGTTCTAATGCTTCCCAACTTCTGAATATTATTGGATAATTTGATCAAGAAGGTCTATTCAAAGACCCTACAAAAACATACTAAATGGTAAAATTTCCTTGGAGATTGGGAATGAGAAAAGNTTCAAACTCTTTAATATGGCTTGTTAGCTAACTTACCTTTCTAGGCTCATTTTCTTGTCACTCCCCGTACCCCCAAACATTTTGTTCCAGGCAAAAGGAACTTTTTTTACTTCCCGAAACAAGTCATCCTCCACACTTATTCCTCCTCTGCGACTCCTTTTCCCTATCTTCCTCTTCTAGGCCTTTGTATAATACTCTCTCCTTAGCTTTCCCATACCAACTACTTCACGCTCAGTTTAAATAGCTTTTTTTGAGGGAGGCTTTCTTGAGCTCTCTAGATTAGGTGTCCCTGCTGTGTGCTATCACAGCATCTTAAACTTCCCTTAGCGTAACATTTATAGTTCTTTGCAGTTGCAGTCTTATGTATAAGGATGTTCATTATAGTGAAACCAAGGTTCCTGATTTAACGTATGATTTTGATTTATAGGGACGCCCAGCGTTCTAGTTAAGACAGGTTAGTTAGTATACTGTCAGGCAGTCAGGAATTCCCTGGTAGACTGAGCAAAAGAGCAAAGCACTGGCCATTCCTTACACCAGCCATTTCTTTCAAAATTATAAGATAACTCCCTCATACTGGAACAGAGACATCAATCATGCCCCAGAGCCACAAAGCCATTTTGGAGGACTTTACAGAGGCCTTCCCAAGGCTGGGCAACAGAACAAATCTGATAAGCATCTTAACAACAAACACCAACATTCCAGCATTCCCCCTTCCAGGCAGAAAGAAAAGTATAAAACTCAAGCTTTTTACCCTAGCTAGTGGGCATCCCAGTTCCCGGTACCCGCTCCTGCTCTGGAGCTGTAACCTTTCTCTCGCTTTAATAAAACTATCCTCTGCTACAAACTTTACTTCTCTGGTCCGTGTCTCCATTCTTTGGCTTCACGAGACCATGACCCCGGCACAAAAAATATCCTACATCATAGTCAGCTTCTTCACAGCATGCCCTGGAAGCCCTAGCCCTTTCCCTTACTAGTCATGAACCCCCTGAGGTGGCCAGAAACAAGGGCCTTGACTAAGAGTCACAAGGTAGGTAGGTGTTCGTGTTAAGCTAAAGGTAACATATTGATCTAAGTTAAGTGTTAGCTTCTAAGCCCTAAGGTGGAATGACACCCTGGCTACTTTTCCATGAAACCAGACAGAGGGACACCAGAGCAGACCTCAGAGCTGTCCTCAAAACCTGAAGAAGTGATTTATTACCTTTACCTTACCTCCAACCAATCAGCTCCCAACATGACCCCGTCTTGTGATTGGCCCTATGTAATCTGTAACCTACACACCATCAGGGAGCTCGGCCTTTTGAGCATTGGCTTCCTGAGTTTTGGCTTCCTGTTCTCCTGAGTGGTGCCCTTCATAACAAAACAGCCAGTCTTTCTCCACTGCAATTCTCAGTGTTTAGTGTTTGGCTCTGCTAGGGCCAGGTGGACAAACTCTTTCTGTTCAATAACAATAGCATTATTTATAAAATAAAAATGTCTAAAAAACATTTACATAAATAATGATAGATCTATGTAACAGGATACTATACAACGGTTTAAAAGAATACTATGAAATTATAAATCAATAACAAAGATAGATGAGAAATCCCAACTTATTTAGAGGTTAAACATAGTTCTAAAAAAACACGTGTCAAAAAAAAAGAAATCTCAAAAAATTAAAAAACATTTTGAACTACATGTATTTTACATGAAAATGAAAATATAACTTATAAAGTTTGTGGGATGCAGCAAAAACAGTGCTTAGGGGGAAACTTATAGCATTAAATGCAAATATTATAAAAGAAGAAAGATCGAAAATCAACAATCTAAGCTTCCACCTTAGGAAAAGCAAAGAAAGAGACTAACATAAACCTTTAAAAAGGAAAATAAAGGAAATAATGAAAATTAGAGCAGAAATCAATGAAATTGAAAACAGGAAAACAATAGAGAAAGACCATGAACTAAAGCTGGTTCTTGGAAAAGATCAATAAAATCGGTAAACCTCTAACCTGGCTACCCATGAAACACAAGACATAAATTACTAATATCAGAAACGAAAGAAGTGTCATCACTACTGTCAGGGAGTAAAAATTTTCCTTTACCCTTCCAGGTTCTGCTGGCTGGTCTAATAAATTGACATGAGACAGATTAGCAGGAGAAAAACAAATTAAAGTTGAATAACACATATACTTCCTGTATACATGGGAGAGACCCAGGAATACTGAGTAACTTGCCAAGATGGCAGAAGGCTTTACCTTAAATACCACCTTCAGCTAAAGACAAATAAATAAATAAATTTAAAAAAAAGATGGTGGGAGTGGGTGTGGGGGGGTGGGTGTGGGTGTGGGAGTAAATTATGAGAGGTTACCAGGAAAAGCACAATAAACAAGCATAATATTATTATGTAGATTTAAGTCCATACCTTCTCCATTGATAAGTTTCTAGAGATATCCTCCTCTTTCTGGTAAAGAGGGAAATACCCTTACAAGTGTAAATGTCCTTTAACAAAGGGTAACTTCTACTTAGTTTTCTGAGCTTCTCCTTTGTCCCCTGTTTCTTAAAATTAACCAGCCTAAAATAATCAATATCCCAAAGAGGCATATTTTGAGGAAGCGAACTCTGCTCCCTTTCACTACTGATCCTATGGACATTATGAGAACAATAAAGGATTATGAACCACTCTATGCCCACAAATT